ATTTTGGTGTACATGAAGGTGATGGACGAGAGCCTGCTCCTGCTTATCGAGGAACATCTTGGGTATCTCCCGCCCTGGTGCTCGTATCCACGTCTTCTATCTGGGCTGCGTAAACTTTACTGATATGTGACTCGGCCAAAGTGTCTTTTTTATTGCCCCCCCCCTCACGAAGATGGGCGAGGGGATTACTTCGCACAAATTCAATGACACTTGAGGTTGTACCTCAACACTTCCACGAAGAATGTATCTGAGTTCGTTGAATTGGGATTATTGGGTTGGCTCATAAGTAATGGCGTTTTTTTTACATTCGCTGCTATTTGATAGTCAACTGCTATGAATGATTCACTCCGAGTATATTCCTATGGATATTGTTTGCACCGTGAGCAGCAAGTGTTGGTCTAGATTTCGCAAGACTGCTCGCTGATCGATGCGCATGAAATGCGTGCTGACCCCTGACCGCTAGCACACAGCGTGATTTGGTTCACGAATGAGTCTCAAGGTGACTCCATGAGATTTGGAGTCCACTAAGAAAATTTAGTAGAGAGTCAACCTATCCCAATAAAACCTCCATAAATCTAATGGCGAATGTGATCGAAAGAATTTCAGGGACGACGAGGATGGACGCCTAATCTGTACGCTGTGCCTCCGGTTAATTACAGGAACGTCAGCACACAATTCGATCCCAACTTCCTTCTGAGAGAAGGTGAAAAACACCTGTGGAAAGAAGGTCACAAACATGAACATGAAAGGCATGAAAAGCATGAACAGGCCGCTGCAGCCAAGTGATAATGAATGATATCAATCACTTACACAGTGGAAATTTGTCAATGAACATAAATTTCTGCTGATCACTTAAAAGTTTATAGAGTTGAAGGAGAGCATGCACACCACCGACCTCCAAAGTGGCTCCTAGGCTTCTGATAGTAGGTGTTGTAGCCGAGCTACACCAGTAGGCAAGAAGATCACGTAAATGAGTGAATTGAGAAGTTGACTGGCAACATAAAAACAAGGATTGTTGCACGATAGTGCAGTCGTCTCCAGACAACTTGAGCTCGGTCTCTTTGATTGCAAGTACCTGTTTTTTTCCTGCCCTTAAAGTTCCTGATAACATTGAATGACTACTGTGGGTCTTCATATTCCATCTTTTTACGCACGACAAGTGGCTCATCCTCCTCTGAGCCCCGTTTCCCTTGAAAAAATACAAGGAAACTAAAGTTAGCTCACGAAACGCCTTTTGCACCTTTCCATCCCTTGGCTGCCATAGTCCTCTATCTACACTCTACTTCTTTCTTTCTTCTGCCTCCAGAAGTTTCAGCAGAAATGCTAGTTGTCACCTACCCTACTGCAACATATTCGTTCATGTCATTCAACAGACATGCAGAGGTGTGGCGGGAAAGCAAATTGGCTAGGACTGCGTGACTCTGTATCGGTTGTAAGCTAGCCAACTTGGCCAAAGCAAACCTGGCTAACATGGTTACAAAAGAAAACCTCGAGAAAGTGAAAAGAAATGTTATCACTGGTGGTCAAAATCGGCGCTGAATTTTTGATTCGGGTGGTGTCATGGGGGTGTCATACAAAAGAGGAGAGGAGCGCTAATCAAGCTACTCAAGTGAATAGTGGTCTACTGTAGGACCACTATTCGGGTAATCAGCTATTAGAGACATTCTGCTTCTTATGCTCAAATTCTGTGACTCGAAATCACTATGATTTGACTTTCACCATACAGTAGCGATGTCTTTAAAAGCCACAATGGCTAACACATTGAATCTACAAGGCCTTTTGTATGTTATTGCCCTTACACAGGGGTCTCTGTAGAACCATTGCGGTTTGGTTAATCAGCTATTACAGACATCGACTTTCTGCTCAGAGAGTTCTGCGATTCGAGGTCGCTGAAACTATTCCATACAGTAGTGTGTTTTATTTCATTGTGGTCTCTTGGTCACTACTGCGCATTGGGTGGCCATATTCCACCATACAGTAGTGTGTTTTGTTTGATTGTGGTCTCTTGGTCAGTGCTGCACATAGGGAGGCGCGCACCGGAGCATCGCGAAGAGAAAATGTTTGCTCCTGTTGTAAAAACAAGGCCCAACCAGAGTGGACCCTCTGGCGGGGCCGGCGCGCTCTAGCGCGTATATGACACGAAGACACACAATCAAAGCAGAACAAGTATTATAAAACATATATAATACACTAACAACATCTATTTCAATTTCATAAAAATACTATTCAATTTCATTATCATTAGCGATGCCGGCATGCCTTCAGGAGTGCCCTTTCTTCTTCTGGGGCTCGGCTTTGTCCCCATCAGAGAACGAGTACTCTTCCAGTGATTTGAGTCTTTTTGTTACTTCTCCAGTACACCCTCCATTGGGCTCTACGTGGATACTCCTCTCATTTAGGCTTATTCATGAGATCCATTACTTCCTGACGAAGGGAAGATACGCCTTCTCCCTTAGGCCGCGTTCATAGCTTGCGTTCGTGAAGAAATGCCGAAACTGCAGACGTGCGGAAAGTGCGGAAAGTGCAGAAATGCCGAAAGTGAGAAAAGCAATAGATACGTATCGATTTGAAGAAAGTGAAGAAATGCCGAAACTGCAGACGTAATCAGCTGT